GCTCGTAGTTTTTCCTTCTCATTGGGATTGTATCTAAGGCAGTGGAGCTCAGCATTTTTTGTTGTGGACGGAAATATGTGCAATCAGAAAACACCACACTGGCATAATTCCCGCGATACGCTGTGAACACCCCAAGCAGTGCTCAGTAATTTTTTTTGTCTTGCACTGGTTGCTTTAGCATCATATAACAGCGAAGTGGTACCCAGACGACAATTTATAAGTGGGCGCAGCGTGAACAGACGCTTTTCCGCATTTTAAACTCCCAAAGCCACTGCATGTCATGCTAGAGAGGCGCACATTGGCAGTTGCAAACAAATTATGGCGTCTTTGGGAAGGAGGGTATACCGCCAAAGGCACCTGGGTGCGAGATAGGCGTGCTGATGTTTATGGCCTTGTTAGATGAATTGTTTCCTTCCATAATTTTTTTAGATTGGAGCACTTTCTAGCTAACGTAGAGAGATTGATAGCGGGAAGTTTTCGGTTTTTCTAAGTCATTGCATTATGGTTGGAATTATGCAAGCAAAATGGCATCGAGTGATGAAATAAGCTGACGGGGACTTGTTTTTGGTCTCTTGTGCAAACTATCTGTTATACAAGGCTTACGTATCCTTCCAGTTCATATAGTATTGCACACCAAGGAAAAGTGTTTTTGTAGCTAAGGCCAAGACGATACACATATTCGGGATCACTTTAGGCGTTACGCCATCCCATAATGCAATTTCAGCATCGCAATTGAAAATATTTGCGAAACGGAGTTGACTTTGTGAGAACACAAATTCTGAATATTTGTCTTCTTTTGTTGGGCTTGTGGTAGAAATGCGAAAATCAGAAGGAGGTTACTGATATCAAGAAAGAAAGCAGAAGTCAAAGCTGGTTAGAAGGTATCCTAGTGGCACAGATATCAAGAAAGAAAAAGGAGCAGTTATTTTTGTTAGAAAAATTGGTAAATTGATTACACTTGTGCTGAAAATAGTACAAAAAACGATTCAAAATGTTAACTGGATGCATCACCAATAGCCTATCGATGTTCAAATCCCCAATAATAAAAAGGCTTTGTGCACTAATTATTACAAGGCAATAGTTTCCACAAACTTAAAGAATTCCTACTTATGACCTAATAGATGCGTGCAAATTGCTGCAAAGTTAAACCCTTAAGACGTACTACTAGACACTCAACAAAGGGCTAAACACACGGAAGTTCGTTGACATTATTCGGAAATCAACTTTTGATGTACAGTGCTATTCCACCTCCTGATGTGACGGACCACGCAATGCCATGATAATTGTACCGTGGTAATTTTGTGGGCTATATCGCACGAATAAAACCAGGATTATGTCAAAAGAATGGCACCAAATTTTACCGACATGTCATCAAAATAGAGACAGAGGCTACTAGTCTTATTTTTAATGCTAAGAGCATTTAAGTTAAATGCATTCAAGATAGCTGGTGGCATTGCAGCTCGAGCATTGAATGTGTCACAAGGTAGGTATTAAAATTCTGCCATGTCAGTCAAAGTTTACCGACATTGCAGCTAAAGAAAATTGTGGCTGTGAACGAATCAATACGGCGTTTTGTCCAGACTTTCTAAGCAGGCAGCTCTTCAAATTCTTGATGTTTCCAATTTTTTCTATAAATTTTGTGCCATGCTTCAAACGAACCTCCATCCCACTTTTTGTTTTTTGCATCTTTGCTCTCACTAACTGCTTACCTTGTCTTGTCAAGTGTTCATTGACACAAATAGGACCACTTAATCTAAAATGAAGGGCCATTGTAGACAGACGTAACATTTTGCCTTGGCCAGAACAACATTTCATTCGTGACATCGGGCACAATGCACTACTATGTTTTTCAAAATGAACTTGTTCGTTTCTACTCTGTCTGTAATGTTAATATCATAAGGAGTTAATGGTTTCATCCATAATCAGACAAACATTTTCGACAGTGTCAAAAGGCAAACCCTTATCTGGGACGCCTTTGTATTACAGTTCGACTTTGAATATGAAGTAAATTCTTTCATTTTCATGTGAAGTTGCTTTCTTTCACCTGGACGTTTTTGTGGCTTTCACGGTGCGACAGGCTCTTCATGCAAAACCTTTATTTCTAAAAAGAGCACGCTGACACTGTCACCACCTTCGTTTCACACTGCTTGAAAGACCACAGTAAGCATGAATTTTGTGCTTGAAATGCTCTGCCTTCCATGACAAACAATTCGCAGGAAACATTGGTACTATTGCTTGGCAGTAGTGAATGCTGAAATACTAGCACAGTTAAAGCAAGAATTAAGTGTCTCACCTGTGCAAAAATGATTTTCGCAAGCACTGCAAAGACCGCACACACTGCTACAAAACTGAGGGTAATATGGAGAGCACTTCGTATATGTAGGCACCGTCCAGTAGACTGGCGAGTCGCAGTGCATGAGCAGGGTGAACACAGCTGATGCTTGAAATAATGGTTTAGATGTTGTTGGTGCTGCGGCCCCTTTACCTTGTCAGGAACTTTCTTTGAGCAGCCTCAATCAAACAAAACGGCAGACGGTACCGAAGAATTCCTACACCGGGGCGAAATATTCCTATGGTAAGGGTTGTGAAGACTGCATGCACTGCTTGCCAAATTGCAGTGAATGGCTTGCAATGCATGACACACATATATTTAGTGGCATGCAACTGAGATATACAACAATGACATGCTGCAGAAAAAATACAACAAAAACAAGATGTCGCAGAGCTTTTCATATCATTATTGTCACAGATGTGAAATTTCATTCATTCTAATAGCTCGCGGACGCACGAACTTGAAGTTAGAAATCTTAGACAAAGACACGTGATTTTAGCTGTAAGTATGCACTACGTGTAATTAAGATTTATGCATGCGCAAGTAATGTTGTTGCTTGCGATCGATAAATTCTATTCTTGCAACTGGGCAAATATATGCATTAGTGCATCCATAAAGGCACATTTTCATTTCTGTAGTTTTATATGATAACCATGTGATGTGTTTCTTAAGTGAATGCCTTGCAATAAGCTTCATATAAATATTTTGTTATGTAATATTGCGATACCACTGCATATATATGACAATATGCGCATATCCATGCACTGCAGATAAAACATGTTCCAGTGCCCCAAAAATTTCGACGACCTGGGGTTCATTAACGTGTACCCAATCTGAGCACACAGGCCTACAGAATTTTCGACTCCATTGAAAAAAGCAGCCACTGCAGCCGGCATTTGATCCCACGACCTTCGGGTTAGAAACCGAGTACCTTAATGACTAGAGCACCGCGACGGGACTTCAATATCCCTGTTTTCTTGCATATGGTGACAAACCGGCTTTGCTGGTCTGGCTAACCTCCCTGCATTTACTTTTCTACCATTTCTTGTTATGAGTTCAACAAATGAAGCTTCCTTCAAGCTGCTAACATTCGTAAAACTATATATTGCCTAAAATTGGGTTCACTAAATAAATATTGTGTGCAGCTCATTATGATCACTTATTTAAATTTTTCTGCATGGCTAAAAATGCAATACTTCTCACTTCTATTTAAACGGCACATTCTGTCTAATGAACGTAGGGGGAAAAAGTGAAAATGCTAAGGCAAAACATCAGTCTTAAAAATATAAGATACGCGAGTATGTACTGAATAAAATATTTCTAGAAATGAAAAAAACCATAGCGTATTCACGCGAAATTTGAAATGTCTCAAAGTGCGCGAAATTTGAAATGTTTGCTTGTTTGTGTATTTCATATACCGATGTCTTGTTGACATCTGTACTTTGGTTTAGTGGTTAAGCTGGCTGCTCAAAACACTGTTTACAACTTTGTTTTTAAATACAAATTACAGGCAGCAAGAAAAATTGATCATAACAAAATAAGCATACTAGTATTTGCTTAGCAAACATTATTTTAGCTATATTTAGCGAAAGTTTCATTTACTGAAAGTTTTAGTCGAAGAATATTTTAACTTGCTTTAAAGAAAATTTTTTCAAACAAAAGGAAGAAAACGTTAATTTAATGCTATGTTAATAGAACGTCAAAGTCCATAGCCTGTCATTAAAATTGGTAACACATCTGAATCTGATACAATTTAAGGTTAATAAATATTTGTACTATTCAAAAGCCACTTTCTGTAACAAGGGCTTGTTGGTTTATCCTTAATTGCATGCATTATCAAATGTATGATTTATATATACAGTCTTGGACAATGTTATGTTTGCAACGTTGGGCGCAAACGAGGCCGAGAGCTCTGTATGTGTAAGCCAAATTCTGTTGTTGCTCTACCAGTGACATACTCCGCAATGAGCTAGAGAGCTTGTAGTGCATAGCTTCGTCAGTGCCGGCAATGAGGCGATGAGGCCGAGGTGGCACAAGACCCAGAAATAATGTAGAACATAGGTTCAGCCAGGAACTACCACTATTCAGATATCGCTACATCGTTGGGGCTTCTGATGAGGCCATGATGTCTAAACAGGAACCTCTGAAAGCTGTTGGCTATGCTCATAGACCACGTTGCTCACAAAGTCTTGCTAGCTACGGCACGCCCTTATGGGTGCTCTTCAGCACCCCTAAGTTTTAGCACCCTTTTTCCAACCTAGTTTACACTTTTTTGATGTTCGCGCCCTTTTGGTTCCGCTTGCAGAGTGCTGAAGCACGAATAGAGCACTCGAAGGGTATGCTTAAGGGTGTAGCATCCTTTTTCAGACTGTTATGGGTGAGAATTGCTTTAGTATGTACCACAAACTCTTTATGCAGCCACTTCTTACGTTTTCGACAAAACTCAAACAAGGTAAAAATAAATACTTCTTGAAGATCTACAAAATGCTGAACTGACAAGCAGACACGCCTCATTGTTCAATGCTTTTCAGTGCTCTAGCGTAAACAAAGAACAGCTTGACAGATTCCGTGGAAGGCTGCATAATAAGGGTTCGAGTTTGTTCTGGCCCGGCTACCGCTAAAGAACCGCGAAAGATTCGTGACTTTCATTACGTGTGCGACTGTTCACTGAAAACTTTGAATATACATTGTGCCAAAAAAGCAGTACCAGGAGCTAAAGAACAATGCGAAAACATGACTTTGTTGTCCTTTTTGTCTTTTTGGTTGCCGGTAAGACAAATACAATGCGCAGCTGCCTTCCAATGCGTCGTCGGCATGTCTACCGAATCAAACAGGTGCGTAACTATTTTCTGTTTCATCAGAAACTTGTAAGTTTGGGCTCATGGAACCAGTAACATTTTGAAGGTATTGTGGCAATGTTATTAGTGGTGTGTTTTGTTGTTTTTCTTCGAAGCATTAGGTGCTGGTCTAAATCAAGCAGTTTTACGAATGAGTTTCTGCAATACTGTATATTATTCATAAAAATGAGGTGACGTTGTGATAGCATAAAAATTGTGACAGGAAGGATCAGGTAGGTTCAAAACATGCCTGAGAAGACAAAATTGATTGATTGATTGATTGATTGATTGAGGAGTTTAACGTCCCAAAACCACCATATGAATATGAGAGACGCCGTAGAGGAAGACTCCGGAAAGGTTTGACCACCTGGGGCTCTTTGACGAGCACCCAAATCTGAGCACACGGGCCTACAACATTTCCGCTTCCATCGGAAATGCAGCCGCTGCAGCTGGGATTCAATCCCGCGACCTGTGGGTCAGCAGCCAAGTACCTTAGCCACTATACCACCGCGGCGGGGCCAAAGAGAGCACAAAATTAAACTGTTTGTACATTGCAATGAAGATTTGTGCAGAGTGTCAAGGTTTCGGCCTCTACGTTAGCTGTGACCACTTAAATTTTACAGGAGCTCTTGCATTGGGGCTGTACCTAATAGTGGCTGTGATCACCAGTAATGAAAACCCCTACATTTGAGATTAGATTGTACACACTAAACTTCGTAATTAATATTAGGCGTATCGAAGCAAGTTAGGCTGCACGGCTTGAGCGAAGTCAAAGCTTTTCTCACCGTCCAAGCACCTGTCGCAACATCTAATGTTAAAAAATTGGCACACCTGGCTAATACAACTATGGCTGATGAGGGCTGTTCACCTGAAAGCTGTGACTTCTATTGAGGCTTCAGGGGTCTTACTAACTTTTTTCGAATCAAAGTATTCCACTTAGCCATTACGTGTTTAGATGCCATTGAAAGGGTTGTGCTACACGGAAGCCATCAATTTGCATGAGTGTAAAAATTCAATGAGAATAGGTAGAATAATTTTACCACCCACATTCGTAAGTCTACAGAGTGACCATGATAGTTACCGGTCGCTTTCTAGACCGGTCAGATGTATATGTGGTGGGGGCATGTTCTAGATGTGGACTTAACACAAAACATTGCATTCACAGCAACAGCGTATCAAGATCGAGAACGTTCATATGAATGCTCTCACAACAAAAAGATATTTGCATAAACATTTAAGATGCGACTAGTGCTGTCACAGCACCACCGACATGATTTGAAACGCGCATATGCTCGACAAATGTAAACGTGCAAATATAAACAGGAAGCAAGGCGCATAAGAAATTATTCCCAATGACAAAGCATAGATTGACGCATCCTGTGGGTACAAAACCTCAGCTACAGTGAGTACTATTGAATGCAGACTTTTTAAATATCCCCGTTTGTTTTCGAATAAACATCGATTGTTAGAATTAATAAACAATGATTGTCTATTTTGGCGTTACACGTCGAGTATGCCCTTACCGTTATTACCGAGTACGAACGTATCGATGGTACGAAGAACGAAACCGCTATGAGTAGACTACGTACAGCAGTTAACTTTTGTTAGTGACATTTATTAGTATTGCTTTTGGGATGAAGAATTTTACATAACATGCTGAACTTGCAGCTCTTTTGTGCGCAACCTAAATGACAGTTAGCATATGAAGTTGGTCAACCATGATTTTTAAAATTGAAGTTTTCGTACGTACGTTTTATTCAGTTTGTGAACTGCTCTGAGCCCATTTGGACGTGCAGAACATCCAGACGAACCTGGATCCGCTGCCAATATGACCTAAGGCGTATTGTAGACCCACTCACCGTTTTCTTCAACAGAACATATTTGATGAATGGGCAAAGGTATGTTGCTTCTCTCTTTTTATCAGTCTATGGGCACGTTATCTTAATCTTTTACCATTTCAATTGGCAGGCTTAGCACTCAACTGCGAGGAGATTTTGTTCGACGACATCCAGACACTATGGACGTCCGTACTTTAGGTACCACTAATAAATCCATTCATCACTAATGTCCTTACATCACCAGAACCAGTGGTCTACTTCCGCGAGAGTCGAATATTTTGCAGCCCCAAACACCTCCTGAAATATTTCTTGTGTGGCTCTAATCGCAATCATCTCAAAGAAGTGAAGATATATATATATATATTTATATATATATATATATATATATATATATTGTAACGGGGCTTATTTGCATAGCAGAATATATATATATATATATATATATATATATATATATAATATATATATATATATATATATATATATATATATATATATATATATATATATATATATATATATTGTTTGTGTGTGCGTGTTCCAAGCTTCAGCACGAAAGGAACATAGAAACCACCTTTGCTTGCCATCTAGCGTCAACAGGATTGTCTGGTATAGAACGGTTTCTGCGTGAATAAAGAGCTTACCACCTTAAGTGAGTTCCCTCTGTGGTCACGCTCCCCTCCCTACCCGGGGATTACAGTGCTCACCTGTGCAAAACTGTGCGTTAAGAATTTGGAGATAATTGTGCTTACTTCATGACTGGCTATGCAAAATGCACCCAAAGAATGATGTTACATGGGTAGCGGTAAAGGAGTTCAGAAGTTCCAGACGCATCATTCATCTTTTTACAGAGTACTGGTGCCACTTGTGCTTGTTGTTTTGTATTCTTTTGCTCTGTCTTTGTGATGTTTCGCAGCTAAAGTATGTTATCTGCAGTGCCTAGGTGAGAATTGACAAATTCTTTATCTGAACAATGCATGATATGACCAGTATGTAATAAACAGTGGAGCTAACACTTTTAAAAATACTTACCACTCTCACTGAAACTCCATCTGGACGAAGTAAGCATAGTCATTAAATACTCTTGAGGTCCCGCGCAATGACTCTAGATAGCCGAAGTTAAAAACCCGTGAAAAATGCTCCGGGTGTGCCGCGCAGTCCTTCTGGCTGGCCCGAGTGGAATTCCAATCATAACACTCTGGTGGTGCCACACAATTGCTCTGGTCCACCGGAATGAAATATCTGTTAAAAGTACTCCGGCTGGTCCACGCGATTACTCCGGCCTGCCTGAGTAAAAACATTGTTCCGGAGGCTTGCAGTGAAACTCACTCTGAATAAGGGGGCCGCTTTAGTATAGGCACTTTACTCGCACTTTGGAGTACTTTTTGTATTACCGTGTAGTTCGCCTCACGTCGTAAATGAGGCTGTTGCAGGATCAAGTTAAGCTGCTGGCCCAGCATACATTTCTGGAGTTATCAATGGAAAAAGTTTTATCTTCAGTGTATATAGCATGGTGTAAACTTTTCAGATGCTGCGCATTCTTCACCGCAGCTCAGTCAATGTGCTTGCATATTTCAGCTATGCAAGATCTCTTCCGTGAAACGTTGATATACCTGGCTCCGAATTTCTCTTGTGGTGTTCTTAAGATTGGCCCAGTAGGACGAGGTATGCGGTCTTTTTTCTTCTTTTACAGTGCGACTACAGCTGCTCTTCTTTAAACTCATATTTATTAACCAGACCACATTTTTCCGTAATTCAATGCGACACTAATCGACAACGAAGTCTGGACAGCCGTATTTTGGCAGGGCTGGACACCAATCCTTCTGCCGCATCGCTCAGCATTTGAGTTGCCATCACTGCAGCTCTGATGCGATCTGCACGGTGCTTCCGTCACATGCATTATTACAATACTGATTCGCGCATCCTACAAAATGTCTCATTCACATGTTACGAAGGGCCTTTTTTGTAAATGTAGAAGAGGCTGTAGCTTACAATAAGCTAGCCACGGATTTTTACTAAATAAACAAAATGACGAAATATAAATACAGATTTAAAATGAACAAATACATTTTCACATTTCATCACGATGAATGACAACAGTAAACAAGTTAATTCAGCTTCCTTTTCTACCTCACGAATAGAGTTGCTGCTTTAGCTGATAGGTCAGGGCCACTTTTGGCGCTTACTCTCGTTTGAGCCGCTGTACATGCTCACTCATGATACGGCTAGTGCAGAGCTCCCGTCGTAGCCCCAACGACTTGTTGTGGTGTCTCTTATTGCTTTGTCATGAGTGATTTACCAGTCGCAATGGCGTTGTTGCCGTTATGTGAGCTATATGAGCATAGCAGTACAAAACACGACAATTTCATTCTCATGCCTATTCACATTCACACCTCCTGCTGTTTTCAAGTCACACGTAATGAATTTTTTATTATACAATACAGCTCTAGCAAAATTATGGGAGCGGGATAGCTCCAAGTACTGGAAAACACAGACGAAGAACCAAAGGGTAAATTTGTAAACATGCAACTTTAAATAGTCCTGAGACACAAAGATGATGAACACCTCCTGTTCTCGAAGCTTGGCTGATGTTTAACATTCCTAAATCTAGCTCTTGGGCCAGGCATATACGTTTGCCTCCATTCGGCAAGGACTCTGCGCACACACGGTACCGTTTAGCTACGCTTTAACAGAATCTGATTATTAAACTACTCAGTGTTCAAAACTTACTTGTCGCGTTGCAGTGTGCAAGAGTCTACAGCGAAAGCGAGGTAGTTCCACACGTCTGATGATCGAACCGCCACCTTACTCGTTTCGCAAATCACTTCCGCATGGTCATTCGTCCACGCCTTTCTCTACGTCTAACACTGCTGCTACTCTCCGTACCAGACAAGTAATGTGCCTGCTAGTGAATAGGGTCTTCTATGCCTTCTCGACAATAATTGTTGCTCTATGACACTTCATCTCGAACAGCTAGGGGACGTCACGAAAACACCTAGAGCTAGCGGAAGCGAATGAAGAGAATACAGCAAGTGTCTGTCGGGTTTTTACGCCTATTGGCGTAGTGCCAACGAGCCGATACTTCAACTGAGCACAGATGCAAGGTCAATGGACGGTAAAAAGCGTGGCGAGACGTTACGTCCCCAAACTTGCGCTGCGGCTTCTAAAGGTCATTGCGACATTAAGAATGAACTTGAAAGACGTGATGTAGTACAGCTTTCATTCTAAAACATTTCACGAGTAAATGTAATGAGGCTCTGAAGCATTAGTATTTTGGGCTAATGTACCTTCTGAAACAACCAACATGGTGTTGTGGCAGGGGAATCGACGTATATGCAGCTTAATTTTGTTGTACCGACTTAACGAGCCGGCCTGCACCCATGTCCTCCAAGAAAAAGGGTATGATGTAAACCATGTTCGACGAGCCGGCCTGACCCCAGGTCGTTCAGGAGGCAGGGTATGTTGTCGACCATCCTCGAGTGATCCAGACTCACCTCTTTTACCTCACACGTGTAACTGATTTCATAACCCGCACTGTATATGCCTGCCTTCGCATACTACGCGCCATATGCTTCCTAATGTATTTCATTCTATTGCTACAAAAGGCATTGCAATGCACTCTTTTAGAGTGTCCCATTAACATTGATGTAAGTGTTATAACTAAAGTCCACTCACCTTTTTCATTTCTCTGTCGATAAACACCTTGTGTAACGCTAATACACATATTTGACCGTAACTTTTGATGTGTGTGGTTTAACGTCCCAAAACCACTATATGATTTTGAGAGACGCCGTATTGGAGGGCTCCGTGAATTTCAACCGTGCGGAGTTCTTTAACGTGCACCGAAATTTAAGCAAATGGACTCATAGCATTTCCGCCTCCAATGGAAATGCAGCCGCTGCAGCCGGGATCCGATCCCGCGACATGCGGGTCAGCAAACGAGTACTTTAGCCACTAGGTCACCACGGCAAGGCCAGCGACCACTTTTTGTGACCAAGAGAAATTCTCATCTAAACAACTTCGCAGTGTTTGATATCTTGCTTTAGGTGTCTGCTGATGTACATTTAACTTCTATACAGACGCATTTTTATGATCCTGTACATCATGCTTTTACAGAAAACTTTTAGCGTGTACTGCACGTACCTGCTTGAATAGTTTGTACCTTTAGAGCAGATTATTCACATTTAGCGGCGGATTTTCTCTTCTTAGTATATTTTACCACACTGTTACGTATTTTGGTAGTTTCTGCATGAGCAGTAACAGCGCATGTGCTACAGAAATGATCAGTTGAATTCCCACACCGTGACTGCCAAGCCCAACTTTACCACAAAAGTTTTTCGCCAGTGCAGCTGAAAAGTTTTGGACGAACCTAACGATATGAAACGTGCTTCTCTTAAAAAAGGTGTTTTCTTATCTTTACTGTTGGTCAGTTAGTACTTGAATACACATTGACCTGCTGCCATACATCTAGAATGATGCCACTGTTGTTAAAAGCATCACAGTTTCTGAAGACAAAACACATTGAAGTTTCTCTAACGAAGACATTCACACCAGAGTTCTGAGTGTTTACAGTGATAGGAAGTGAAGGTATGCAGTATTGGAGTGCTCCTAACACAAAGAAAAAACTCTAAGCAATGCTACTTGGTGAAGATTATCATTCCCCCACAGTGGGTATCAGTTGCAGTAAAAGGCGATGAAGTACAAGGCGATCAGCCAAATGACAGGCGAAAAATCTTCTTTGCCAGTAGTTTAAAACGTACGTAAGTGAAAGTTTTCTCTGGGTTGAAACCTGACCAGGAACATTGTTTTTGGACGCCACTGGCACCGCCTTTTTAATGCTCAACAGAAATTTCACGTAGCCACTTAACGGGCACGGTGCAACGCATCCATGGCACAAAAGTTTTCGAAAGCAGCAATTTGCCTTAAATATACGGTTATTTAGATTTTGCTTTACATCGTGTCGTGCAGTCGTTTCATTGTATTGCCACAAAACTAAACAAGATATTCATATAGAAACTGTTTTTAGAAGCTTCCTCAGCAAGCTTCTTATGCCCACGACTTGTCCGCTGGCGGCGTGTGCACTTCTGCAGTGGTTTCAGACATTGTCTGGGCACGTGCACGTCTTTTCTTTTTTCCAAGAGTTTATGAAGTTAGAAATATCTGTTATCGCTCGGTCACATGAAAGCCTCATAAGCCTCGGCAGCTGCGCAGTGGGCTCTCAACGCAGCAGGAGCTCATGCTCGTTACCGAGGCAGCCCTGGAAGCCGAAAGAAATTGAGCTCGCCATCAAGCAAACCAAAAGCTGCGGGTCAGCAAACATTTTCTTGGCACGCAAGAGTAACTTGAACAGGGTCACCGCATTACTGCATGGTGATTTTAACTAAGTGCCTGGCAGTGATTGCAATACCCACGAACGCGTGCGGCATGACTCATGAGTGTGCCCATAGGAGGGTCAACCAGTTTATTAGCATAGGAACAGATATAACGCGTGGAAGAACAGCCCACTCTACTCTCAGCGGATGATGTCATGAGGTTCTCTGAAATAAATATGAAAAAAAAACTTTCCCACAGTATTGAAGCTCGCCACCTAATAATTCGCCATGATGTGAAATTCAGCTCCGTGATAGGGCACAAGCAATGCTTTGTGAAATCTTGTGCCTGCTGCAGAAGAGTTCATGAACTAGACGTATAAACTCAATGCCTCTGCGAGGTAGTATGTTCCGAGCAAGCCTGACTGATTTGCCGCAGCAGTAGGCCGCTAGCTGGTAGCGTCTTCACTGACGCGCGGGACCCAATGTTTAACGCGGTGATGGTTGGCAAACATACGTCGTCGTAATACTTGCCCCGTCAGGGACGCAGTGTTGCTTCTTTGACGGGCCACAAATACTTGCCATCTCATTCAGTAGCACTCGTGTTAACATGCTAACACTCCAGCCATTCGAAATTCACTGCATTCGGATGTTCTTGGTTCAATTAGCACGATTGAAACATGAATATTGAAGATATAACACACGTATAACTTTGACAACATTGAATTCGTCTACGTTGCTAAATTTGTCTTACAGCTATGCTGTTCGGAAGGTACTGGTGAACTACCCGAGAAGTTAGCCTGTAAGTGTGAATTGTGGCCCCAATGCACGTTTCGTTCTCGAAGCAATCCGGCTCACTGGTGGAGTTCCATCGTGTTGGCGACGTTGGGCGTTCTATAATATCCATAATAATTGCGGTAGATGCAATGCACACCAAAATATACTTTTATTTTGATCTCTTTCAAGGATATTATACATCCAATGAATCAAAGGTGTAAACGAGCGGGAAGAAAGTAACACATGAAGGGAGCTGTGCTGGGACTCACTTTTGGCGAGTTGCAGCTGATTGTTCATCGTCGATATCACCCTCGGTGCGTTCACAGCCTTCTACGTCCAGTGAAAAATCGTCTTTGTCAAGGTGGCTTCTTTCAACATCACTCCTTGACGCAATGTGAAGAATTTCAAACGCCGAACGACTTCGACCTCATCATATGTCACCTTTGTTTTGTTGTGAAGAACGTTTTGGTCTCAAACTTTGCAACAAGCAAATCGCTTCGAGTATGCTGCCACCTACCAATAAACATACGAAGCCAAGCGGTGCCACGCAGACCGATTGTATTTTCACGGGTCCGCGTGACCTTTTCGCGTACATTGTTAAGGGTTAATAAAGCAGGAAAGTTTTGACTGTAGAGGTCAGACGAAAACATTATACTAACCTACGTGTCGACAGAGAACGTTGCGAAACTCATATCAGTCCACTGCGAAAAAGTCATTGAAATCGCAAGCTGTCACGTATTTTCACGGAGACTTCGGGGACCACAAAAACGGACCAGCTGATTTATGGTGTTAGGAAGGGCGTGGTTGGCTTACTGATGCAGGAAACATGCAAATTGGTAGTGTTCGTTTGTTGCTAACACCTAAACACTGAAGCTAGGACAAGCGGTCGACAGCGCTACAACAGTACTGCTGCGATACTCACCCTGCTCGGGAGGACGTTCATGAATTCTGCTTTGCGGTGCGACATTTTATGGGCACTGCGAATAATGGCCCTTGCGCATTTGTGTTGTTCTTTTCAGAGCACTAATAATTCACAGCTCCGAGTCTGCATATCATTTAAGATGATTGATATGTGGGATTCAACGTCCGAAAACCACCATAGATCATGAGAGACGCCGTAGTGGAGAGCTCCAGAAATTTTGACTACCTGGGGTTCTTTAACGTGCACTAAAGACTGCGCACACGGGCCTACAGGATTTTCGCCTCCATAGGAAATGCAGCTACCGCCACCTGAGGCCAGCGGATCAGCAGCCCAGTACCTTAGTCACTAGACCACCACCGCGGGACTGTGACTCAAGTCAATGCGCAACATTTCCAAACTGTGAACGTTGCAGGGATGAAGTTATGTAGAATTTTGGGCAAATAGGGCCTAACTTTTCACATAATCATCCCATGCTTGCACGGCTCATTAAATTAGCGGAATTCAGGGCAAGTTTTATGTACAAAATATATTCAATTGCATTGGATGATAAACCCACAAGGAAGTGGCCAATATATACAGTGCTGTTTTTGCTTAGATAAATGAGAATTACTGATGTGAGGGTAATTCATTTTTTTTTAAATCATGCTGTTCAGCAAGATACCAGTCATTCTGTGTTGATACAGAAAGACTACTTGCTATGTGCTTATAATAATTGTGGTTTTATGCTGTGTTCCTATTTATAGATACAGCGTGCTATTATGATCTTCGAGTGAAAAACTCTTCAATCAAGGGCCCCATTGACGCCAAGTGTTGGATGCACTTTCACAGTGTCGCACGTGAAGAAACACAAATATACACACCGGCATGCCAACATGAAGTTCGTTCACGCCAGTGACTAAATAACAAGCTGCGTTAAAAGCGCACCCTCCCAATGAACGAATATCGTAGTTTACGAGCAACGGTGCATATCACGTGAGCCTGCTTTACTCAAAAGTGCGCCCGTTTCTTTCAGCAAATCAATAAATGAAACGAAGTTGTCGGGCTTTCTATCATAACATTTGTAAGTGCCATTAAAGCACAAAACCCTTTCATCGACATAAACTGGGAACAATAACTTGTGTGCAAGCGACAAGGTTCGCACACAAGATACAGCTGTTTGGAACTGCTGACCCGAAGGAAGGTTGTACTATCACGGTCAGGGTGGTCCAAGTTTAGTAGAGGCAAAATGCTAGAGACACATATGCTTATTTTGATTTGAAACACCCAAAGAAACTAATGCAGTAGAAAGTTCCACTCTTACAGTGTATCTCGTGCTTTTTTTGACTAAGCACAGCTGTTCTAAATTTTCATTCACCGCTGCCGTGCAAGAATGAGCATGGTTTTCTTTCTACGTCGTGACAGGACAAAAGGTGGGCATTTTATCGCTGAAGCTATATAAACAACAGTGCCTAGTTACACCAATGTAACCATAGGCAGGCCTTCTGAATCTATGTTTAGCGTTTTAAAACCTAACTAGCTACGCATAGATGAAATAACACCACAATAAACTCTATTTCGACAGAGCTGAAATATTTTGTACCTATTTATGTCCGCAGCCTAGTCATATCCGGAGCAAGATGCCCGGAGCATAGTCCAATACTAGTCAAGCTGGGCCGAACAAGGACGAAGTCGGTTAGTTATCAAATTACTTGGGTTATTATAACATGCAACTTTACAAATCCAACTTCCTATTAATTATGCAACTTTCCAATATAACATACTTTCCTGCATCACGGGGCTTTCCTACACCGAGATGGGTGGAGGAGAAGTCGGGTAATAACACCCCTTCTTACCGGGGCAAAGTTTGTAGCGCCATCTTCCAGGCTGCTAGTGAAGCAGAACATTAGCGGCAGTGGATTGTTCCGGCGTTCGCTCACCTAGAGTATTCTTGCAGCGTCGCTCAAGTGAAGGTTGTCGAAAATGACAAAATGATAAGAAGCTCTAGAATTGTTCAGTGCTGGGCCCTATTGTTTGACACTGGATGGAAATAACGTCTGCATATCCTAACAGTACGGCATTCATATTCGCATCAAGCACACAGTGATATATTAGTAATATCGACTATGCAATGTATGCGAGCTTCACTGGTGTTTCTTATTATTTTTTTCACCGATGCCGTGAGTTCGCAAGAAAATCCTTCGAGAAAACGACCGACAATCTACTCTATTAGGCGAGTAAGTGATATTTTTTAGGTTGCAACGTCAGATGTAGCGCATGATAATTTAGCCATTCAATATCCTCCATGAATTCATGATTTTCGGCCTATCAGTTTTCTCACGTAGATTTGTAGTGTTGTTTCACATAGTAAAAGTACTAGTCCTATGATTGCTGCATGATAGTGGGCTGGTAGCTGCCATCGTGATTGTTGCCGAACAAAAGCAAACCGTTCTGCCCAGCATGACTTTCAGAACAAGAACTTTCTGGGGGCTGTCCTTAGGCAAGGATTTTACACGTGATGCTGCACCAAAGGCTTGCTTTTTTATGGAATTCGTTTCAACTATTTTTCCTGTTGTATTTCACCTATAGGGTGATTCTAATTGGAGTTAGTTGAAGCAGGCGTTTTTACTTAGAACAATAAATAAAAGTACATTATTTATATTCAGTTTGAATGGCGGCGTCTCTCATAATCATTTAGTGGTTTTGGGACGTTAAACCCCACATATCAATCAATCAGTTTGAATGGCACGAGATGTGACGGTATTATAAACATGTGTGCAATTACATTGAAGAGTGCTTACAATGCAGGTTCTGTCGACACCGCATTCTAATCATTCTAATCACTGCTCAATTAAACAATGAGAAGTGATGACTTTTTTCTGACACACTATATTTTGCATGAAAGTTTAGATTTTTGTGTGATTGTCACACTGAGAGCATAATCTTTTTTTCTGGAGTTGTGGCCTTTAAATAAACACACAACCCAGCTATAACAACAGGAGTGTAACCTCGTTGACCACCTACTTTCAATATATCCAACGATTCGTAAATGTGTAAACTTTTTTGGGGAAATCTGGCGTGGTTTTTTGTTATGCAGATGTTTTTAGAGTTAATTTGAATGCCAGTAGGATCTGCCGAAAACAATCTAATTGTTGTATGCACAAGCATGCACTTACGTCCTTTAACAGTTTCAATCGAAATCTTTTTTTGTGTCCTCTGGAGATAAGACAATTCTAATGTATTATGCAGGTAAAAATTATAGTTTTATGCAAAAAAGAATTACAAATCAAGTCACCGTAATAACTGTTTTCTTCATAAACGGAAATCTGAAAACTGTCTTGAAAAGTTTAAAAATATAACTGGAAAAACTGTATTGTCCAGTTACGCAATGAAAACATTGTAGAATGGTTGTCAAAAAAACATCCACGTGTATGGAAGCACGTGTCAATCTGACGCATGTTCGGAGTTATGAATTGTTAAAGGGAACACCGCAATGCATGTTTTTCTACTCGGCATAATTCCCAGCCAGCGTCTGCAACGAACTTCAGCAAGTGCACTGAACGTTGTGGGTGGTAATCTTTCGTCTTAGGATGCAGTGTCCACTACCCCTTTCGAAACGTAGATTATCTACGTATACTAGCATAATAAAGTGAATTGTTCACTCGACAAATGATCACAACGGACAGCGCTTACTTACTGTGGCACCTCGAACGGCCGCTGGCGGCGTAGGACAGCCGCCACGAGCTCTGATGTTATCTTCATAATCAACTTTTGTGTACTGCTAACAGAAGCAAAGTATTGGGGTTTTGCAACTCAAAACGAAGATAAGTTCACGCGAATGTCTGAGTGGAGGGTTCTGAAATTTCGCAACTTCAGCTAATGTTTAGCGTACCCTATATCTAAATCGATAGGTCTCAACAATTTTGACTCCATGAGAACGTGGCAGCCCTGGACGGGCTTTTATCTCTTGTACTTGTGGTCAACAGTTTTACATCATAATTATACACAATAGCGGCATTGTAGAAGCACTGAGAAATGTTATCCCATACTATAGATTTATAGGTTGCCTATAATTGAATTTGCCAGGGTAACGGTAACTATAAATATTCTCACATAGTGAAAACGTCCCAATTTTATGCAAGTTGTAAAAATTTTCGAAGAAGCTCTACGAAGGCCGCTTGACCAGCCTACGCTCTGAATTTTACGGCTTTGCCCTGCAAGCCTATGATTATCCCTTTTTGCATACCCACTTTTCAGTTCGTGATCACGCCGCAACGCATATGGACGTACAGAGTTAGTAAAGCGGGACGGATTCGCTGCCAGTTCAATCAGATTCGCACTGCAACTCCTCTTGAATTGTTTACAACAAGACCTTCTTGTGTCGCAGAGGAAGGTAGATTAATCTGTGTATCATTTGTCTACGTGTGCCTTCTCGATTGTTTCAATTTAAGGCGCAGCACTTCACTGAGGGGAGAGTTTGATGCTCAACGAGGGAACCGGATGGATGTTAGAAGTGACGGTACAGTACGATATGCTGTACTTTTTCGCAATAAACTAGCGAAATTTCACCTACAATGTTAGTGTTGTTGATTAAAAAAGGAAAGAAGACATCCACTCGTCTGTAGCAGAAATACACAAGAAAGTCGTACGGCTTTTCTGTAAAAGAAGCTCCTTAGCCAACGAAAAAGTTGTCCTGGCCCGGTGTTCACATCCAAGAATAACGCTTTGCCAGGGCGGTTGCTCACCAAATGAGCTCACCAAGAAGCTGGCAAAGGTAGAGTGACCGGCGCCAGAAAGGCGTTATTCCCGGGTTCAAATCCTGGACCAGGACGAAGCTTTCAGCCTCTAAGAAGCTTTCTTTCTGAGAATCCGTACGCATTCCTTGTGGCTTCGTGCTACAAACAAGTGGCGTCTTCGTTATCTTTCTAAACGCTTCCGTCCCCTTGTGCGTTTCGCGAAACTCCTTCGCAATATGTTACTGATGGTTGTAGTCCCAAGAATTAACCAAAGTTTTTCGTTATCGGTATTCTGAAAAAACTCATATAATACACAATTTGCCACGAACTAATTAGCACGCCTCTCAAGTTTTTGCATATACTTTTTCGAAGCGGTTTGACGTTTAATACATTCGTTATATTAGTACTCAATTTGGGATGTTTTGCTCTCTTGCTACTCGACAGTTTTCACAGAAGAAGCTCTAATCGAGATTTAGTTACAGTATTCTGCTATTCATAGTCCAAGCTCAGCAGGTTTTATCGTTTTATTTCTTTTGTTGTAGCGAAAGTATTTATGAATACTATATAAAAAACACACTTCTCTACACTTTGTACAGTGTGTTTCTGAAAATTGCCTCGCTTCTGAGTTCAACCATTTTGATTTTATGTTTCAGATTTGCAACGCAGATTTATTAGCACAGAAACACTGCTGTATCTAGCCGCCAAGATGTCATGTGGTGTATTAAAGATCGAGACAGCAGGTAGTATGGTGTTTTTTTCTGTTCTGAAAAGAAGCAACGCCTGAGAAAAGACAGTATTCTAATACATTGCAAATACTTACATGATTGCGGACGTTGCGCCTACTCAGTACATAATGTGTTCTGTTTTTTGAAGATCAAAGTAGGGGATTCGCAACAAGGCTTCTAAGATTCGCACGAAGTGGTGCATAAACTGATTGATCGCGGACGAAATTCTGTACTGAGCATGTAACAGCGTGCCTTGACGGAGCAGAAAGCCGCTAGGGATTGAGAGCTTCGGAAACCCTTCGAGGTTCCATAAAAGATTTCAATGTGTCAGCTCTGCTTTTATTGTCCTTTCACAAACAGAAATCGCCTCGCCGAGGTTGTCCGGTGAATATCGTACTCGGCTGCTGACCCGCTGGTCGCGAGATTGAATCGCGGCTGCGGCGGCTGCATTTTCAATGGAGGCGAAAATGCTGTAGGCCCGTGTGCTCAGATTTAGGTGCACGTTAAAAAAAACCCCAGTGAGCCGAAATTTCCGCAGTCTTCCGCTAAGGCGTCTCTCATAATGATATGATGGTTTTGGGACGTTAAGCCCCGCATATCAATCAATCATCAATCAATAACAAAAAGAAATTCGTTTCCTAAAATGTTGAGTGCAGGTGCATCGGTGAAAGACCTGATTGTAGGGGCGGTTTACTGCGAAGGTTTTCATGTCATTTATGTTCGTTTTCTCATTTATTCATGTCGAAAGATAATAAACTGAGTTCATAGTCAGTGCTGTGTACGTGTGCTTTCTTCAGCTTTCTCTCCTGTCTCGGCACGCGGTTCGAAGCTCACTAAATTAAACTCTCTAGTTTACGTAGTACGCCAGTTAAAGAGGGTTTTTTAGAAAAATTACATGTAACGAAGGTGTAAGCTTTCGAAAACCAAATGCGAAACATTACCACTTGTGCCGGCAGTGGTGGGGACGTCAACGCGAAGAACGCAACAGTGAGGTGATCACGAATGGTGGTATTATGACGTCACGTGGTGACTTCCTAATACCACTTCACTTCACC